TTATTCGATAGTAACCTGATAGTATTTCGTTTAAACAAAATAAGAAATGTATTTCGTTTAAACGAAATAATTAATTTGTTTAAACGAAATAATTTTCCGTAATTTTATGAAATATTTCGTTTTAACGAAATAATTAATTCGATTAAACGAAGTAATTATTTCATTCAAATGAAATAAAAAAAAACTATTTCGTTTAAATGAAATAAGTAATTCGTTTAAACGAAAACTTATTTCGTATAAAGGAAATATATGATATTATTTCGTTGAAACGAATTAATTATTTCGTTTAAACGAATTAATTATTTTGTTAAAACGAAATATTTTATAAAAGTACGGAAAATTGCGCCTGTGGCCTAAGGGGCTCCGTAGATACGATATTGAGGAGCTTTCGACCATTAACCCATACAGATTGCAATTAATCACACGTAACACGCCATATTCCTTCAAAATAAATTTTGCTATTGTTCCATGCATACGGAATTTTTGCATTTTGTATTTAACATCGGTACCCATGTCGGTCGCTCCGTTCTCATTATTGGTAATCGAATGAGAATCTAGCTTTAAGTCGATTTTGTTTAAAGAACAAAAATTGTATATATATGTTTACGAAATGGGATGGGCAATAAACAAATCGGCTCCTTTTCTATTTTGAATCTATCCAAAAATTAAATGTTTTCCCCTTCTTCTTCATTGCATCAGACAAGTGTAAATTGTGTTGACACGTTATGTACTATGTTATCATTGGCGCCAATGACAAGGTTACGAAATCACAGGCACAGGACTCATAACTTAGTGAACTTAGTGTGTAATTTGCTTTTTTTTTTAGTTTATTGCTTGCTTTCGTAGTAAATTAATAGATCGTCGTTTGTAGAAAAAACTTAAAAGGAAAGGGTGTTTATAGTGTTATCCAATATCTTCATTGGCTGCCTATTAAAAATAGGTCAAATAACAGAAAAACTTTTAAAAAACTGGACCGAGACACCTTGTTTAAAAACAGTTTTTGGGAGTCTTTAGAGCTGATATATGGACAATTAAACTCGAATTTCTTTCTTATTTTCTTTGTAATAAGATAAATGCGTATAAATTATTTCACAAAAATTCGATATTTAGTTTTCTGATTGATATGAAATTCACTCGACGGTGGCATTCTATTTTTTTGTAGGTAAAATTTTTTTTTGCTCAAATTTATGACAAAAAGAAATACCAAAATCTAGAAAAATGTGTCTCTGAATAATGATATATGAATGTTTTAACTTAAGAAATCCAGCGGTTAAACGCCAAAACTATTCTATCAGCCAATGACATAGACCTAGGCTACACATTACGTAAACTTTGTAAGTTTTTGTTAATTGCGAGGAAAAAAGCGAGGAAAAAGGCGAGAAAGCGAGAAAAAAAGCTTTTCCTCGCTTTCTCGTCTTTTTCCTCGCATTTTTCTTCGTCTTTTTTTACTCTCGCTTTTCGCCTTTTTCTTTGCCTTTTTTTCCTCGCCTTATTTCTCGTGGGCGAGAAGTCGAGAGTAGATTTGGCCGCAGATGGCTTCCATACTCCGGTGACACGATGGGTGGGGATTTTGGTAACGCAGAGGATGGTAAAGCAGTAGAAGCGGAACTTTGGTTACTCGATGAATGTTGCACGGGTTTCACTACTACACAGGCTCATTTGGGACTTTGGTAATGCTGCGGATGTCACCTTAAGGCTCGGGGCTCACTGCTCACCATTTCAGATAGGAATTGGGACTTTGGTAATGCGGTGAATGTCACCTTAAGACTCGGAGCTCATTGCTCACCATTTCAGATAAGATTTGGGACTTTGGTAATGCGGCGGATGTCACTTTAAAGCTCGGGGCTCACTGCATACCATTTCAGATTGGAAATTTTGGCTACGTGATTCGTGAGTGAGTGGTTCAATGGAACATAGTTTTAACCACAAATTCTACCCCGCTCCATTTTTTAAGAAACTTCAGAGTATGATTTCATACTTTGCCCCAAAATATGTGTCAAAATACACTAAATCAAGTTAGAACCTCCTGGGACCCTCCACAGGAGGCTTGTCAGTATTTTACCAACGCCAGAAGGCTGGTACCTCCACTATCAAACAATGATGGCATCTCCGTTCTGAAGTCTTATGAAATCTCAAAATGTAAGACGAAGCGCAGTCTTGAATCCGACCATAGTGCCTTTCAAACAGATAGTGAGTTATTTCCATTATTCGTCCCAAGTTGCATAATGTTATTGTTTATATGATATTTCGTAAAATAGAGGGAGTATATTGTCGTCGCTCTTGTCCGCCTGTCCGTACACAATTGCTCGTAAACACACTAACTCTTGACTGATTTTGAAGAAACTTGGTATGATTGTTTATAATCACCTTAGGATGAACCCTATTGAAAATCAGAAATATCGAAAAATATTTAGTATGACTTATTGCCCTTGTTCTTGAAAACGCGTTCAATATTTAGCCTATAAACACTCTAGAAGGTTCAATTCTTGACATATTTCGACGGCACTTGGAATATTATACAGTATCGCCCCAAAAAGTTCAAAAGAAGTGTAAGACTGAAGGTTGAATATTTCATACTTGTAATTGTTACTGTACTGCTAAATATTTTTATTTGAAATCAAAGTTGCTAGAGGGCGTATATTACTTTGCCTGGCAAGCTATCTTTATAGATATGAACTTGTCAAAAAACCGTTCTAATTTTGGCCATTTGATTAATTGTTGTCGATATATGTGTGAATTTTTGATAATTAAGTTCAAATAACGCCTTGGGAATTTCATTTAACTAACGAAAGTGGAAATAGATCAAAAGGTAAAAAAAAATTCTGTTGAAATAATAAATTTCTCAATAAAAGAAATATCAAAGAAACTACAAAACGGACAGCTAATACATTCAGATAAGGTAAGGGACGTATTTCTTTGCAGTTTTCTGTTGTCAGAATAAGACTAGAGCATACCAAGCTGTCTTGTCCAACTAGCTGATTGATTGGTACAATGACTGTTTTCTGTGGTCAGAGCGGGACTAGAACACACCGGTGCGCGGTAATTAGGTCAACGGAAATTTGGTCCCCGTAAAAAGTTCACACGGTAATTTGGTCACAGTAATTCAGTCACACGGTAATTTGGTCACATTAATTCAGTCACACGGTAATTTGGTCACATTAATTCAGTCACAAGGTAATTTGGTCACATTAATTCAGTCACATGGTAATTTGGTCACAGTAATTCAGTCACACGGTAATTCGGTCACAGTAATTCAGTCACACGGTAATTTGGTCACATTATGTCAGTCACATGGTAATTTGGTCACTGTAATTCGGTCACACGGTAAATAGCTAGATTCAATACATGGTGCATGACGGCCACTGTCGCAAGTTTAATGACTTCGTGACCTTGACCCGATATAGGCTTAAATACCCGCAAGGTTTAAATGATACATGAAACAAGTTGTTTATAATGATTTATTATAAAGATCATAAATTATAGAAAGATCAAAATGTAAAAAGTATTAGCTTGTGTCACAAGTCACAAGATTTATTGATGTATAATATTAACCATTTATGTTTTCTAAACTTTTTATGTGTATCTGGGACACTGATAGCATCAATTTGGATCATTCCAATTTTCTATCAGATGTCTGTAGTTCCTGCAATTCCACATACCGCTTTATGACTATGTCAAAAGCCGCTATGGTTATATTACTGATTATATAAGTATACTTTCAGGTTAGTGACGTCATTAAACTCTTAGTTTTAGTGGAACTGCAGGAACGGAAACGTCTGCTTGAAAATAAATACTGTGCTGATAAAAAGTTTAGAAAACCTGTTTACAATCCCTTTAAATGGTAACAAGTTACTTAATAACATATGGTCATATCTTTTATTAAATGCCTTCGCTTCTTATTTTCAAATCTCCTGAAAAAATAAGAAAATTCATAAGGAGTTAATCAGGGATATAGTTCCGCACAGCCATGCGTTTCTCTTTAAAACAATAATAAAATCCGACGTAAGGTTTGCAACGATTAATAAACATTCAACAAAAAAATGAAATCCAGGGTGTTATAAATCTCATACAGTTCGATTTCAGCCATCTGTATCCCTTTTAAGGTTTAAAATCCAAAGTCAGGTTAGAAAAGAATAATATAATACGTACACAATAAGGTTCTTTTGGTGCTGTTTTCAGACAATATTTCTGTGGTTCCGTTCCACTTCCGTTGTATGTGGATTCTGCGTAGTAGCCCATTCTGACTTTTCCGGCAACATTTGTGTCGCAGACGTTGGCCCAGTAATCGCAGCCGTTGATAGAGTTCGTGAAGTACGCAGTTGCTCTGTTGTGGCTGCATTCTGCAGGAGGCAAATGGGGATTAGATTAAAGTAACACACTGTAAAACGTGTATGTGAACTACGCGCATGTTGGCAAATGACAGTGCACCAACTATACACTGTAAAATGTGTTTGTGAAATGTTGGCAAATGACAGTGCGTAAACTGTAAACTGTAAAATGTGTTTGTAAAATGGAAAGGAAAATGATAGCGCGTTAACTACACACTGTAAAGCGTGTTTGTGAAATACACGCATGAAAAGACAAATGATAGTGCGTTAACTATACATTGTAAAATGAGTTTGTAAAATACACGCCTGAAAAGGTAAACGACAATGCGTTAACTATACACTGTAAAACGTGTTTGTAAAATACACGTATGGAAAGGAAAATGATAGAGCGGTAACTATACACTGTAAAATGTGTATGTAAAATACACGCCTATAAAGGCAAATGATAGTGCGTTAACTATGCACTGTAAAATGTGTTTGTGAAATACACGCCTGAAAAGGCAAATGACAGTGTTAGCATTATACACAGTTTCGTAAAATAAAAAATGGTTTCATACATGTCGCCAAGGCTCAGGAAATATTAAATCGGCAACTTATTTCATAAATTTCATAGGACACAAGCAAGCACTCTATTTTTGAAATTCAAACAAAGAATGAAAACTTACTAGTCGAATCGCATCCGGGTTGTTCTTCGCCTCCGTTAGGATAGAAATCGACTGTTCCAAGGGTTTCACCACTTTTATATCCGAAATCTGAAATCAAACGATTGGAAGAAATAAAATGGAGTTGTATCCCCTACGACTGGTTGGTATCAAATATGTCAACATTGAGGCACAAACTGCAACAATTCCCATACATTGATCGAGATTTTTTACAGCTCCACAAATTATTGCAAGATGAAAAGCCCAATCGTTTAGTGACATCAGGTTATTCGAAAGACCTTTGTTATATTGGTGATCCTGTGGATGGAAGAGATTGGGATATTCAGATATTTCTGTCGTTTGAGCAAACAATTCATGACGGGTGTCTTATTTACAGTAGCATGTCCATTTCCTAATAAATAAATAAATGTGTTTTACTCCTCGTTCTTCTTGGTATACAAACGAGTACCAGGAGCGTCAAAATTGGTATAAGGAATCCATCTGAGGTTAAGAATCTCTCGACCTAAAAATCTTACATCGGTACTTCAGTGAGATATGGGAATGGAAAAGATAGCAATAAAGTTGATTTGAAATACACGACAATGAGCGAAAAAGATGCAGTTTTGAAAGGAGGAGTAACGGTCAAAAGACTATGTGCTTACCCAATTCTTTCACATGTCCATCGTTGGTGTGGATCACGTCCACGAAGTCAGCATCAGTCTTGGCCAATCTTCCAGAAGGAGGGTTGTTGATAAATCTAAATCCAGCCGGGTCTAAGCCAGTGATTCGTCCTGGTTTATCGTTGGTTTCTAACTTCATATGTTTACCAGTAAATCCTGCTGCATGAGCTCCTAAACTGTGCCCAATGAGATGAATTTTGGATGCGTGCTGATGTTTCTTATCCATCATGGTCTTGATGAGATCCCCAGTGACGGTTCCGACTCTTCCGGTGTTGCCGACAGCCCAGAAATAAGATCGCCAGCTGATTCTGGCTCCGATTGCCCAATCTACGATAACAACGTTATCAATATCGTCCTGTAATGCAGATACCAAAAACGATATTAGCTATGTGGACTCTCTGAAAGAGATGCTGAGTTTACAAACCTAAATACACACTATTAGCTATGTGGATACAAACTTAAATACCAAAACGAATGTTGTGAATGTACACCTTGTTGCAGAGCATGCCCTTTAGACAGGAAATTACACATTTGTTTGGAAGCAATCAATAAGGATATAGTCGTTGGAAACCCAAAAGGCCATTGTCACTTTTCTGACACTTTTCTGTCACTTTTTTCCCTTACTGCACACGGCACGACGTAGAAAAGTGGAACGTACAACTCATACTTACCAATTTCAAAAGTTCGTTTTTCATGTTCTGAATCCAAGTTGACAAACCATTATCAGTATTGCCGTGAAAGAGAAAGACGGTCTTGCCATCACTGACGAATGTGTTACCCAAGTTCTTTTGGTTGATGTATTCCGGAACATTGTCGTTGCCCTTAGTGTACAGCAGGTAGTTAATGTCGAATTTTGGTGGCTCGTTGTGTGGAATCTTGTGGCCTTAAATGAAATTAACGTGTATTTTGAAGTATGTGGACTCAATGAAAGGGTTAAACCCAAATTTCAAATAAAACTCAGAATGTCGAAAATGCCAATAGCTTTGTGAACTCTCTAGAAAGGATGTTGAATACACAACTCCGTATTTTGAATAAATAAACTATAAATTAACTATGTGAACTCTCTAGAAAGGATGTTGAATTGACAAACTTAGTTGCTGAGTGGATACTAGAATACCAAATAAATATTATTAATCACGTGGACTCTCTAAAATGATGATATATCAGCTTGTGTCATATCGAATATAAGCGAATTGTTCGGAATAACTTGAGCACAATATTTTGTATCAATGAATTTTATTGGGCTAGAGATAAGCCCAAACCAAACTTAACTCGCAAGGTCTTGATCGACCAAATTGTGCCCCTTTGGCCAAGAATTCAAAAATAAACTTACCGTCATTATCGTTTTCAGCAGAATTGCTTTGTTTCAATCCCAACAACTGTAAGTAATGATAAAAGAATCCTTTTGGTTTATCAGCTTCTTTACTTTCGTTACTACCATCATCGCCATTGCTTTCTTCGTCACCGCTGGCACTACCATCGCTATCATTGTTGTTACTGTCACTGTCATGACTGTTGCTGTCATTGTCATCACTATTGCTATCACTATCATGGCTATCATCATTGTCATGGCTGTCGCTATCATCACTGTCATGGCTATCGCTATCACTGTCATAACTGTCACTGCCATGGCTATCACTGTCGCTGCTGTCGCTATCTTGGCTGGTACTGTCGCTGTCATTGCTATCACTATCATGGCTATCACTGTCGCTATTGCTGACATCGTCATGGCTATCGCTGCTGCTGTCGCTATCACTGTTTCGACTGTTGCTCTCATTGTCATGGCTGTCGTTATCATTGTCATGGCTGTTGCTATCATTGTCATGGCTATCACTTTCACTGCTGTCACTGTCATGGATGTCGTTAGCATTGTCATTGCTATCGTTTTCATGGCTGTCGCTGTCACTGTCATGGCTATCGCTGTCACTGCTATCACTGCCATGGCTATTGCTGTCACTGTCGTGGCTATTGCTGTCACTGCTGTCACTGTCATGGCTGTCGCTATCATTGCCATGGCTGTTGCTATCATTGTCACGGCTGTTGCTGTCACTGTCATGGCTATCGCTGTCACTGCTATCACTGCCATGGCTGTTGCTGTTACTGTCATGGCTATCACTGTCACTGCTATCACTCCCATGGCTGTTGCTGTCACTTTCATTGCTATCGCTGTCACTGCTGTCACTGTCGTGGCTATTGCTGTCACTGCTGTCACTGTCATGGCTGTCGCTATCATTGCCATGGCTGTTGCTATCATTGTCACGGCTGTTGCTGTCACTGTCATGGCTATCGCTGTCACTGCTATCACTGCCATGGCTGTTGCTGTTACTGTCATGGCTATCACTGTCACTGCTATCACTCCCATGGCTGTTGCTGTCACTTTCATTGCTATCGCTGTCACTGCTGTCACTGTCATGGCTATCACTGTCTCGGCTGTGCTCTCACTGACATGGCTGTTGCTCTCACTGTCATGGCTGTCGTTATCATTGTCATGGCTATCACTGTCACTGCTGTCACTGTCATGGATGTCGCTATCATTGTCATGGCTGTTGCTATCGTTGTCATGGCTGTTGCTGTCACTGTCATGGCTATCGCTGTCACTGCTATCACTGCCATGGCCATTGCTGTCACTGTCGTGGCTATTGCTGTCACTGCTGTCACTGTCATGGCTGTCGCTATCATTGCCATGGCTGTTGCTATCATTGTCATGGCTGTTGCTGTCACTGTCATGGCTATCGCTGTCACTGCTATCACTGCCATGGCTGTTGCTGCCACTGTCATGGCTATCGCTGTCACTGCTATCACTCCCATGGCTGTTGCTGTCACTGTCATGGCTATCGCTGTCACTGCTGTGACTGTCATGGCTGTCAATGTCGTGACTGTTGCTGTCACTGTCATGGCTATCGCTGTCACTGTTATGGCTGCTGCTATCACTGTCATGGCTGTTGCTGTCATTGTCATGGCTGTTGCTGTCACTGTCATGGCTATCGCTGTCACTGTTATGACCGCTGCTATCACTGTCATGGCTGTTGCTGTCATTATCATGGCTGTTGCTATCATTGTCATGGCTATCGCTGTTGCTGTCGCTATCACTATCTCGGCTGTCACTGTCATGACTGTCGCTATAGCTGCTGTCACTGTCATGGCTGATGCTTTCACTGTGGCTGTCATTGTCGCTGCTTTCGCTATCACTGCCATGACTGTTGCTATCATTCTCATCGATATCGCTGCTGTCATAACTATCGCTGTTGTGGCTGTCACTGTCATGACTATTGCTGTCGCTGTCGTGGTTATCACTGTCATGGCTATCGCTGTTGCTGTCTTTATCACTGTCTCGGCTGTCACTGTCATGGCTGTCGCTATCATTGTGGCTATCACCGTCACTGGTGTCATGTTCAATATCTTTGGTGTCGTCATCATAAACTTGTTTGGCGTCATCATGGGTTTTTTTGGCGTCATCATGGACTTGTTTGGCGTCATCATAGGCTTGTTTGGCAGCATCAAAATCGAGTTTGGCGTCATCATAGGCTTGTTTGGCGTCATCATAAGCTTGTTTGTCGTCATCATTTACTTGTTTGGCGCCATCATAGACTTGTTTGGCATCATCATGGATTTGTTTGGCGTCATCATAGGCTTGTTTCGTGACATCATGGACTTGTTTGGCGTCATCATAGGCTTGTTTGGCGGCATCATAGGTTTGTTTGTGATCATCATAGTCTCTGTGGTCGTCATCATTGGCTTTTTTGTCGTCATCATTGCCGTTGTGGTCGTCATCATTAACTTGTTTGTCGTTACCATTGGTTTCTTTGGCGCCATCATTGGCTTGTTTGTCGTCATCATTGGCTTCTTTGTCATCATCATGAGCTTCTTTGTCGTCATCATTGGTTAATTTGGCGTCATCTTGAGCTTCTTTGTATTCGCCATCATTGGCTTGTTTGTCGTCATCATGAGCTTGTTTGTCGTCACCATTGGTTTCTTTGACGTCATCATGAGTTTGTTTGTCTTCGTCATTGGCTGCGAGGTCGTCGTTGGTCTTAATGTCCTTATCATTGATATCGTTATCGTTATCACCATCTTCATGAATGTTTTTGTCGCCATTTTTCTCTAAATCCATATCAATTGACAATCTCATTCCATCTCCCCTCAGAGATACTTCACCAATTTTGAAGTTCATGGCCATGTTCAATGCCTGGAGGACATTTTGGATGCTCGGATGAAGCTTTATATGTCGTACAAGTGGCCAGTTGCCGTCGGAATGGAATCCTTTGGCACCATTGTCGTCATCAGCTTTATCGTCTTCATTACGATCATCATGAACATGGTCCTGGTCTTCATTATGATCATCATTATCATGGTCGTTGTCGTCAATGCCATCTTTTCTGCCGTTGGTCAAAGCGTTCTGATCATCACTATCATCAGACCATCTTCTCTTCTCTATATTTCGCCCAAGCACACAGCTAAGGGTAACAAAGAGACAAAGGCAGAGCACGAGTACCTTCATGTTGACTTGACTGACGTCGTAACTGAGTACCACTGACTGTTTCCGATTTGAGCTTCCTATTTATTGGAAAGTTTGACAAATAGACAGACTCGTCCATCTTAAATTTAAAATTAAAACTGATTGATTAAGTTATATAAATAAACTTTTTTCTTCTTCAAAATTCTACATGACACTGATTTACAACTATCTTCT